AAGTCACCTGTAATTCCCTAGGGGAAAAAAACCCTCTTGGAATATGGCAAAGCCTCTCTGCTAGTCCTGTCTCCCCTTCAAACCCGTATTTTTTAAAAGCAGCTTTAAACAATTAAGAAGGGGGGAAATTGTACCCTCAGAAGCTTAATGGCTGTCTGAGCATTTGATGAGGAGTGGGGAACAGAGGAATGTCAGCTCCAATGATGCTCCTCCAGAGGAACTGGAGTGAAAGCAGCTGAACCTATGTTCCTGATATTGAGGTTCCATCCTGCAGTCTGGGGAAAGCAGGAGACTAAGGAAGCCTCCAGACTGCTGAAGAGTTTGGGACAAAGGTTTTGTCACTGTTTAGTAAAAGCTGAAAGGAAATGGAGCTCGGAGCCACACTGCTTTTGTTTGAGTATCAGCAAATTGATGCGTGGCTCTTTTAAAAAGATGATTTCTAATAGATGCGTAGGAAAATTTTTCTAAAAGCTTTACAGCAGCTCAATAGGCAATTCTACCCTCACCCTGAGGTGAGGCATTTGTTTGAATTGTGGCACTCAGGGGAGCTGCAATGAGTTTGGGTGATGAAACAGCACCTGGCTGGTGGCTGCTGTGCACACTTCTGCTGGTTCTGGAACAGCTGGAAGGGCTGGTGGGAAAGGTAGCTTTGGGAAGTGGCATTGTCCCAAGTGTTACAGCCCCCTAGCAATAGCACTCATCAAATCCCAGACTCAAGGGAGTTAGATACAACCACTCTAGAGCCACTGACAAATTAGGCTCTTGTTCCCAGCTGTCAGAGGAACTTTAAGAATGTTATCAAAACTGACTGTGAACTTCAGAAATGAATCAGTTTTGAGTTCACCTGAAATTTTAACTGTGGTGATTCTTGATTCATGTACTCTGTCTTGTTGGAAGAGAATGTTAAATGGTTCTATTAAGAGATCTGTTTTAGTTGTTTGCTAAAGTTTACAAGGTAAATCCTATAGTTTGTTTTTGAATGTAAGTTTGTAAGAAGTGTAAATACATGCAGTAAATAGTCATGCTAATTGTAAATATGTATAGTAATGTTCATAGCTAGAATTATGTTCATATTAATGAACCAGGGTTTGATGAAGCTAAGGGAATCTTTAAGTTTGATGCAGTCTGCATCAAGAATTTATTGATTTTTAAAAAGGCCTTGGCACAGCTAGTGCTGTTATAGATATCTTAAGACCCATTCAAAAAAGAACATTCCATCTTGGTCACCCTCTATTCCTTTATTGGGTGGTGTGGCAGCCTAGGGATCACTGGGCTGTTCAAACTACTTGCAAGCTCTTAGTAGGAACCTGAGATAAATTTGAATTAAGCTCTGTATCCCCTCATGACATAGGCTGGTAGTCAGGGACAGGCAATGTTCTTGTTAGCTGCCAACCTAAGACAAGAGTATGCTTGATGGAAAGTGTATCTCTGTGACGAGTAAGGTTTGTCTAACTGAAGAAGACAACCTCTGGCACACACAGTCTATCTGAGGGGCCTGAGGGGTTCTTTGAAATATTAAGAGGAGGGACTTGTGGAAGCCCACAGAGGTTTCCTAGTAAGATCTGAGCTTGCTTTACCCAGCAGGGCTGCATAAGGGGATGGATTGACCACATGTATGGTTACCAGGTATTTGGAAGGGTCTGCACTTGGATGTGCAGTATGCTTTGATCTAGTAAGGGGGAGGTTTTTTGCCCTGCCCCTTGGCATTCCTTTAAAATGCCCTTTAGAAGAGACAGAAGGGGCTGGTGGATTTTGATCCAGATCCTCCCAAAGCTATCCTGTTTTTCTGTCTGTCTCATCTCTGATATCTTCCTTAATTCCTTAGACCTCTCTCCTCCTCATAGGAACCCTGTAAAAGGTGGGGGCAGGCCTCCCACAAACCTCATGCTTGTGTGGCTAGCATTTTGCTCACTGAGCCATCCTCCTAGGACACTTAATTAAAACAACTTTTAAATTATATTTATTTATTTATGGGGCAAGAAAAGTAGCAGGAGTCAGTTCTTGCTTTCTACAGAATGGGTTCTGGGGATGGGACTCAGATTTTCAGGCTTGGCAGCAAGCGCCTAACCTTCTGAGCCCTCTCACTGGTCCTTTCTCTTTTGAAAAAAAAATAATCTGTCTCTTTGATTAAATATCATCAACAACTTCTCCTCCTCCTCCTCCTCCTCCTCCTCCTCCTCCTCCTCGTCCTCCTAGTCCTCCTCCTCTGGCATACCTCCATACACTAACATGTGTGTGCTGGTTACTGCCTTTGCCTGGGGTCACTTCTTGTCATCTCTCCAGATTCAGCTTCTAGCTTCCAGTGTCATTGGGAACCCTTTCCACACTTGCCTGTATCTTGTTTCTTTGGCCTTTTGGTTGTTTTCCCCCCGTTCTGACACTAGGCATTGAATTCAAGGCTTTGACTATGCCGGACAAGCACTGTACACCCCAGTTACAACTCTCTCCTCCCATTAGTCTTTATCTTTTGTTTTTGTTTTTCGAGTCAGGGTTTCTCTGTGTAGCCTTGGCTATCCTGGAACTCACTCTGTACACCAGGTTGGTCTCAAACTCACAGAGATCCACCTGCCTCTGCCTCCTGAATGCTGAGATTAAAGGCATGCACTACCACCACCCAGCTAGTCTTTATTTTGCAACAAGGTCTTGCTCAAGTTGCCAAGGCTGGCTCAAACTTGTAATCTTTCTACCTTATCCTCCTGAATATCTGGGGTTGCATATAAATATCACCATGCTTGCTACACACTGGTTATTATACCCTCGGTGCCATGTTTCCCAAAGCAGCTGGCCTTTGCATATTTTCTTCCAGAACCGTATCTTTGCATTTCTTTCTCTTCAGAAATATGGAGTTCCTTGGCATCTAGGGGAATGTCTTTCTTACCCTTGCATCACCTAGAGGACCTAGATCAGAAAAGGTGATTGGAAAAGTTGGTTGAATAAATGAAAATAAATTGGAGCACAACCTATTCCAAATACTCATTCATTCAAGAAATATTTATTGAGTTCCTGAACATGTCTGCCCATGTTCCAGATGTTGAAAATAAGCAAAACAAACATTCTTGTCCCAAGGGACATGAGAGACAAATATTGAGGTTTTAAGGGCTAGAACAAAGGAAGACAGAGTGATGGAGATTTGGACTTGATATCCATTGAAGTAACTACCGTTTGAGTAGAACTTTGAAGTGAGAACTCACCTTTTTGATGCCCAGGAGAAGACATACTAAATGCAAATGTCCTTCATGTTCCAGGAGCAGGAAGGAGGCTAGTATTGCTGGCTGAGGAATGAGGAAGAAGGAGATGCACTTGCTAGAAGAAAGAGCAGACTGCATGGGATCTATGGGCCCCTGGAATAAAGCTTTGGATTTTTTTTTTTTTGTTTGTTTTTTTTTTTTGGTTTTTCGAGACAGGGTTTCTCTGTGTAGCTTTGCGCCTTTCCTGGAACTCGCTTTGGAGACCAGGCTGGCCTCGAACTCACAGAGATCCGCCTGGCTCTGCCTCCCGAGTGCTGGGATTAAAGGCGTGCGCCACCACCGCCCGGCTAAAGCTTTGGATTTTTACTGTGCCCAAGATAGGAACCACTGGATGTTTTAAAGAGGAAAGGAGTATACTTTGACTTAGGCTTTAACAAGATCCCTGTGGCTGCTGTGTTGAGCACAGGCTGTAATGAAGAAGAGAAGGTAGGGAAGAAGCTCCTGCAGCATTCCCTGTGTACAGACTTCTAAAAAGAGGGCCAGCAGGCTTGCTCATGATTGAGATGACTATGATTGGAAGAGAGAGATGAAAGGTGTCTGCGATGGTTTAGCCTGGTCATTGAAAACGCTGGACTTGGTATAAACTGTAATGATGAATATTGTGTGATGGCCATACGCAGCATGTTAAGGTACAAGTTTTTAGTGTTTGACTCTGGACACGTTAAATTTGACACATTTCATAAGTTTGCTGACTGTAATAAACTCAGCCTTTTTATTTTTGTTGAGACAGGGTCTTACTATGTAGTCCAGGCTGATCCCAAACTTGCAATCCTCCTGCTTCAGCCTCTGTGAGTGAGATTACAGGTGTAGGCCATCACACACAGCCTTATTTTAAACACTAAACACCAAGACATGGAGCAGAAAGCTTTATAGAGACTGCCGTTTAATTCTCTTACTTATCCTATATATCCTAATATTTTGTTGCCTTTTGTGGATGAGAGATTATAGCCAATTGATGTTAGATATAAGCAGATTTGGGATTGGGACCTAGTCAGTCTTCAAAGCTCTATTTGTTAATCTGGATTCGAAGGGTGAGGACCACTTTCTGAACATAGTTGCCACAGACTTGGGTTCCGTTATAAAAAGATGCCTGGAATATGAAACAAGATTTTATCCCAGGCCAACAGCAGCTGCAAAAATGAACATGATGGGAGCGGGTGTTTGAAAGCTCCAGTATCCTAAGATAGTGTTAAGGAAGCGGTGACCATAAACTCGTTTCGGCTACTACTTCTTGGAGTAAACAAGATACTACAACCTGCAGTGAAACCTTGTTGGTGTTAAAAAAATATCTCCCTAAGGTTGGTAGTTTGGAATCACTGCACTGAGGAGATAGGGCGCAAGGGTTTGGGATCCCTGCCCAGACTGCCCTACAGAAAGACCAGGATATGGAGCACAAAGGCCGGGAACGGATAGGGCCGCAGCATCCGCCTCGATGTCCTCCTCCTCTACCCCCTCCGTCCTCCGCACAGAAGCCGTAGGCGGGTGGCTGGCTGGCGCATGCGCTCTGGATAAGGCCCGCTCCCCGCGACGTCAGGGGGCTCGCGCTCGTTCCCAAAGCCCCGCCCCTTAGCGCCTGAAGCGACCTGGGCGGAGGAGGGGGCGGCCACGCCCCCAGCCGAATCGCGGAGGGCCGATCGGAGCCGAACTCCTCCGAGCACCACCGAGCTCCGCCGAGCGGCCGGGAGACGGTTGGTGCAGCTCGTCCCCGCCGCAGAAGCAGTCCGTGGCTCCGGCGTCGCCGCCGCTGCCCCCGCCGCCGCCACCGCCGCGGGGCCTGCGCCGGCCGCCCGCCCGCCCGGGAGGGAGGGAGGCCTGCAGCGCGGGGAGAGCGGCCGGGCCGAGGGTGCCGCCGTCGCCAGGTGAGCGCCCGCCGAGACCCGTCGTCTCCTTCCGTAGCTGTCAGTCCCCGGTGTCTGTGCGTCTCCCCGCCTGTCAGCCCCTGTGTGTTTGCGAGCGCCTTCCCGCCAGGCCCGGCTCCCGCCGGGCCCTGTCAGCCAGCCGCCAGCACCCCCGCTCCGAGCGGCCCCGCCCCTTCCCCCTGACGCCCCGCCCTCCCCATCTGTCAGCGCCGCGCTCGCTGCGGGTCCGGCGTCCTGGAGTCCCCGGTCAAGGTGGTCGCGCGGGCCAGGGTGGCAGAGGGAGCCGGAGCGGGCGGTGGAGGCCTGGCCGTGGGCGCGCGTGTCCGCACTCCCGCGGGCGGCTGCGGGCGGCTGGCACCCCGGGCCTCTGGTGAAAAGAGCGTCGGGACTCGAACCACTCAGGGGTACAGTAGAATCCTCCTTCCCCACGCGGAAACACCAGGGTTCCGGGATGCCCAGATGGGCGTGTGAGCGGAGTTTGGGACTTGTTAAGCCTTGCCAGTTTGGGGGTTTTCATTCAGAGAAACCTGTTGGAAGTGACTGAGGAGTGGGTGGGATGCGGGGCTTAGGTGGCAAGTGTCTGCGAGCTTGAGTCGTTTCGAGTTGCGTTTATGAACAGTGATTGTCGTGGTATTGTGCGAGAAACGGTTACGTGATTCGGGTGGGGTAGAGGGTTAGAGAAGAGAAAGCATGTTCCTTTCTGCCTTTATCGGTGTCATGCCAACACATATATTTATCTAGATAGCCTACAATGTTTATTCATGAGGCATCCACACATTTTTTAATTAAAAAGGAATACGGCACTTTCCATTTATATACATGTTCTCATATGTTGCTATCTTGATTTTTTTTTGTTTGTGGTAACTTAGTGCTGCAATATTTCAAAACTAAAAGAAATGTGTTCTAAAACAATTGGTAGCTTGCCGGATAATTCTCAACCGAGGAGAAAAGAGCCAAAAGCACACTTCATTAGCTGGAACAACTGATTCGGGCTTAATTTGCTTCTAAGAGACATACAGTGGAAAAATCCAGAAACAGCAAAGGAGTATCAAAGAGCCTTAGGAAATGAGCGAAAAGGGCCTTTGTCTGTATGCCTTGGAGAGATGGTATCAAAGTTGCTTTAAGGGACAGGGCTGCCATGTAATGATAAACATATTAACCAAGTTGATTTTGTGACCTTGATACATTGGGCCATTCTTGATTTGTGCAGTGGTTCGTGACAGGCAAACACTGCATGGGAAGTGTGGTAATTTTTTGGACGAAAAAAGTTCCCTATGTTGTTTTTTTCCCCCTCAGTTGAAGTAAGATTTCAGACTAGCTTCGTCCATGATTGGGGGTGCAGTGTGTGTGCGCGCGTGCGTGTCGTATGTGCTTTTGCTTGCTTGTGTGAAGCCATTTCTCTGTTTTTCTGTCACTGATTTATATTTAAGGCAGAAAACTTGAGTAACAAAAGAATAAGTGAAAAAAAAACCCTTATAATCACACAAACTCTAGTAAACTTGTTTGGCATTTATTTTTTTCAGTCTTTTGTTCCCAATTATGTGTTTTCTTTTTTTTCACTCTCTCTATAAAGTGCTACCAGCCTATATGATTTTTATTGAATGCTTTTCCTTCCATTTATAAATAGATTATGAGGGGTATGACTAGCTTTTATGAGGAACTATTTTCCCTTTGTAATTCCTTTAAAAAGAAATCTAGGCCGTGGAAGTTCTCTTCTTGCACCCGGCCAGTAACTTCTCTGAAAGTCAGATCTCCAGTCCCTCCTGTGGCCTGCTGGCTGCCAGTCTCCAGCCTGGCCCAGTCAATCTCGGCTGCCTTTTTACGAACCTCAGTCATACTCCAGCCCTGTGCCTCTGCGGTTGCAGTTCCTCTGTGTGCACAGCTGGCCTCGATATTATAACATTAAGACGGATTTCCTTAGCTTTAGGTCTTGAGGTTTTCCCCAGCAACTCTTCACAATTCCTATCACCCCCTGCCTTCCATTCTGTGCTGTACTTATCACCACTTGGTAGTATTTATTTCTTGGCTTATTGTCTGTCTCCTTTGCTGTCTCACAAGCACGAGACCTTATTTCACTGAAATACCCTCGGGGTTTAGAACGGCCCCTGATCCACTATAGGTACTAAAATATTTGCTCAGTGAATAAGTAGAGGAATGCTAGTTGTCCATCTATTCATGTGACATTGCCGGTAGCCTTCTAGATAGCTACATCATGAGATAGAATAACAAATTGTTAAACTTTGCAACTTTCCTCTCCTTAACATATCTTAGAAGAATTGATAAGGTGAGGCTTGGGATCTTAGAACGACAGTCTTAGGAGCTGGAGAGACAGCTCTGCAGTTAAAAGCACTGGCTGCTCTTCCAGAGGACCAGGGGTCCATTTCCAGTGCCACATGGACAAATATCTGGAACTCCAGCCCCAGGAGATCCAGTGCCCTCCACTGGCTTCTGTGGGCACCAGGAACACAAGAAATACACAGATATACCCAAAGATAAAACATCCATACACATAAAATAAAAATAATAAAATAGAAAAACAATCTGGAGAGTTGGCTCAGCAGTGAAGAGCACTTGTTGCTCTTGCAGAAGATTGAGGTTTGAGTCCAAGCATCCACATGGCACCTTAGAACTGTCTGTAACTCCAGCCGCAGGGGAACTGACAATTTTCTGACCTCCATGGGTACCAGGCACATATATAGTGTTCATACATACGTACAGGCAAAACATTCATACACACAAAATAATAAAATCAATAAATCTGAAAAAAGAAAAACCTTGATTTAACTTGAACAGTTGAGGGAAGGAACATTTTTGGCAAATGTTGCTGGCATTCCGTCTTATGCATTATCCCTTGTGTCACACGGGGAATTTTTGAGAAGCCTAAAGTGTCCCAGTTTGGTTGTTCTTAGCAATAGTATAATCCTCAAGAGCATAGTGAGCTTTTTGTGTCCTCAGATACCAAAGGTGTAATTACAGCCTCAGTGTGTTTTCACTTGGGGAGTAGCTGTTATATTTACTTACTTTCTTGGCAGTTCTGTCCTTTTCATCTCTCTGCCTATCATTTTTAGATGGCTTTGGAGGTGCACTTACTTGCTTACTTTTTTTTTTTTATCATTTTATAATTAATCCTTGACCTTTGAGCATTTTTCAGTCTCTCGTGTGACCTTTGAACTGTTTGAAAGTGCCAGCTTTATCTTTCAGGAGGAAACAGCATCTGTAGTAAAATGTATCATTGTGCTTCCTTTGATTTTGAAGAGGGGCTAATGTTGGGTGTAAAATTCTTAAAAGTTTGAACTTCAGATAGGCTACTCTTTGAGTTTTTTTGGGGAAAAAAAAAGACGTTGTTTTCTTTGAACGATACCTAGAACAATACAGCCCAGAGACCGTAGAAAACCTTTTGATGCTCATGTTCCAGATATGTAAGAACTTGGTGGTAGTGGTTGTTGGTGGTGGTGATATAGTGTATATGTCCTAAATGGAAATTTTCTTCAGCTGAAGGCCTGTAGGAAATATGTTAAAATGTTTTCTTATTTATTTTCCTCAATGGGGATTTGTTGCAAATGTATTTGGGGGCAAGCCTGTGTGCTTTTTTTTTTTTTTTTTAAAGATTTATTTATTTATTATGTATACAGAAGAGGGCGCCAGATCTCATTACAGATGGTTGTGAGCCACCATGTGGTTGCTGGGACTTGAACTCAGGACCTCTGGAGGAGCAGTCGGTGCTCTTAACCTCTGAGCCATCTCTCCAGCCCCCACCTGTGTGCTTTTGTAGAGATCGCTTAATCCTGTTCAGTTTCAGATTGCCCACTCTTCCTTTGAGACAGGTCTTCATATATTGCTGAGGCTGTCCTTGAACTCATTATATAGCCCAGGATATCCTTGAACTTGTAATCATCCTGCCCCAGCTTCCTATGTTTTAGGAATAAAAGCAGGTAACCACCACACCTGAATTTTAATCTTTTCTCAGACCCCAGATAATCTCACCCAAGTCTTTAGTATGCCCTATATGGAGACAACTCCCTCTTCAAGCCTCCCACTCTTTCTGGCTCAAGGCTTGCATTTTCATCTACCAAACTTTCCTATTGTCTTTGCTTGCCACTTCATCTCAAACTTCACATGTCCACAACTTACCTGCTCCCTCCATTCCTCTCTCATGTTAGTGATATAACCTGGGTCCTTGGCTTTGCTAAGCAATCCCCGAAACCCCCAAATTGGTCTCTCCATCTTCCTCTCAAGCTTCCACATTTATAGTCATCATTCTTGACTCATCCCTTATGCCCATCCCAGAATATTTCAAATCCTTCTCCTATTTCCTAATCTGGCAGTCTCTTCTCTCAGCTGGATGACTGACTGTCAGTGCATCTTAGCTGGTCTTCTAGCTTCACTCTTGCCTACTTCCATAGCAGCCAGAGTAAACTCATTAAAAGGCAAGGGCGTGGAGTTGGGGATTTAGCTCAGTGGTAGAGTGCTTGCCTAGAAGTGCAAGGCCCTGGGTTCGGTCCTCAGCTCAACAACAACAACAACAACAACCAAAAAACAAAAACAAAACAAAACAACAACAACAACAACAAAAAACCCAAAATAACAAGAGTGTCCAAATCCTTCTCTTATTCTCAAGCATGCGTTTATATGGAAGGATATACAATATATGCATGCACATGAGTGCACGTGCACACACACTTGCACAAACTTTTATAGCGGGCGGTGGTGGCTCACGCCTTTAATCCCAGCACTCGAGAGGCAGAGGCAGGTGGATCTCTGTGAGTTTAAGGCCAGCCTGGGCTACCTAGTTAGTTCCAGGAAAGCTGCAAAGCTACACAGAGAAACCCTGTCTCGAAAAACAAAACAAAACAAAGACAAGGGCGGACCATCTCTTTGTTGAGTGGCTACTCACTGTATATAGAATCACATCTGTGCTTACTTTGAGGTGCCAGCCAGCCCCTCTGCCCTCTCTAGTCCCTGCTCATTGCTCATGTTTATCAAGTTGAACACCTTCAATT